GGAGGTAGCATTCAGGCTTTGAGAGTAAACCTGGAGATCAGGGACCTTAACAGGAATGAGGGCTATGCCAGGTTGCTCCATGCCATGGCAACGTGCTGGAGTGTACCCAAATCACTGGTGGTGGAACAAGTTGAGAAGATACCTGGAAATATCCAAAGCTGTTCCTGTCCAAAGATTAGAAGTGATGTGAAATCCCTTGAGGCCCTTCTTTAAATCACTCTGCTCACGGGTTGATACAGGATTGATGTTTCCAGGTAACGATTGCCTTGGTGTGCCCAGAAACAGCAGAGGAGGACAGTCCATTAGAGACAGGGGGGTCATAAGGATCTAGGAGAGAGATCTGGCCAAGAAAACTGAGGAATGAGTAAGTTTAGAGAGAAATATTAAGGCTACAACTTGCAAGTTAGCATCAAATACAGTCCTCAGAAACACCCAGGATTTCAGTAGTTTAAGATAGCAGGAACTCAGGCGGCTCATTCATGCTTTGAGGAAGGATTTCTTCAGCTCTTTACATACTTTTTAATAATTATTTACTTTAGGACTGATGGCTAGAGCCATCAAAGAAGTAATTTGCTATTTTACCTCCACTTTAGATACTAAGACCAAAATTTAGGTCTTCAAAACAACACACTCAGCAGCTTCTAAGGCACCCTAAAGACCATGGTCCCAGGGGATCCACCTTCTCAGTTCCTATTTCTGGCCATGCCCAGAAGTGCCCAAATGTGCAATTCCACATCTAACACCCAGCTAAGCCACCCTCTACCACTGAACCAGAGTCGACCTGCAAATCAACCACTCTGATGCCATTGCTTCGTGCTAAACCATGGATCACAGGTCTTGTACGTTCCCTGCTTCCCCCAACACACCGAATCGGGCATCTAAACCCCCTCTTTCAGGTCATCCCAGGTCATCATCCATCGCTTGTCCTTTGCTGTGTGGTTTGAGTCATCCTCCTCATGTCACACCAACCGTGGGGTAATTCCACCGAGGACAGCTGAACCGCACCAGGGAGGGTTTGAGTTCCTGGTGTCTCACAGGGCTCAGTATGTTGAAATGCACATTGAGAACAAATCCAGGAGGCTACATGGTCCTTCCCCAGGCACTTGGTTTCTTCCTGCTGGTAGATTCTGACAGAGAAAGAAAGAAAAGCTAAAAGAAGGAAAAGTTACAAAAGTTAAAGCACTGAGGGGAAGGAGAGGCATGTTTTCAATGTGATTACAATGCTCCTTTGCTGCAGTGTTGTTAGTATAAACCAAAGGATCCCTTTGGATGCCTTGACACCTACAGTGGTTGAGTTTGCAGTACCACAATGTTAGCACAATACAGAAGGACCTTTATACTGACATTATAAAGGCAACAGGACTTTTCTTGAGCAGCCAAACCTCTAGCTTCCTCTATTTTTTTTCATTTCTGGGCATATTGAAACTGGTCTATAAGAGTCAATATTGCAAACTAGGCAGACTGATGTGATTGAAAGACCCTCAGTAAATAAAACTGTCAGTCAGCAGCACAAGGAGGTATCTATGAGTGAAATTTCGAAATTGTACTCTTTTGGATAACTGTCATTTGCTCTTAGAAATTACATTTAAAATTAATGTTTGCTGTAGAACTTATAAATATTTGTTCAGGCTAGGATGAAATATCCCCAGGATAATTTTAGCATGTACGCATCAGATTTTCATTTCACAGCAGAGAAGACTGAAAGTAAGTCTGTTCATTTCACAGACAACGTAGTCTTCATTCCTGTGAGACAGGTCATACTCCTTGGTGAGACACGTCTGCCATTTTAAGTCATTGGGGGTCTAGGATGATACAACCAAAAACACAACTGAAGCCTGCCATTGTTTTTCTACTCATTTTTCTACTCGTTTCACTGGGAGAAACTTGGAGCCAAGAGTCACTGTGAGTCACGTGTGAACAGGGTTAGAAACAATAAGGACCTTTGATCTCACAGGATCTCACAGGATCTCCAAACCAAAACAACGACACTCTCGAAAACACAGTCTCTTCCCAAAAGGTAGGACAACATGAATTCCTTACGATGCTGGGATAAACCATCTATGATGTTCAGAGCAGACAAAGAGAGCAACGGATGGGAGAAGTTAAAAGGTGTGGGAGGACAAGCAACGCAAGAAACTTCCTCAGATACGTGTCAGAGTCTATAGAGAGCTTTCCCTTGACTTCGGCGAGCTGGGGATCAAATGTTCACCAACATGATGTTGATCTTTCAAAACCCGTCTGTGGCCTCATCAGTGTGAGGTTGGGCAGTCACTCGAGTGTGGGTATGCGCTTTAACACCTCCACTGATTTTGTAGTGCAGTCCGTCCCAAGGCCACACTGAGATCTCTGCCCAGCGCACTACAGCAAATAAAGTCTCTGAGGTTTGGGTCTATGTCACTTTCCCCCACTTGGCTGTCTGCAGAGGAAGCACTTTATAGATTGTTACTGGTTTGATTTATAAATCCCAGCATCAAGAAATGGATAAAGGGCACTTTGTTTTGTTCCCTGGTATCTGATGGACAGGAATGTCCCAGCCGCCAAGACCCCGATGGTGGTCTCCAACCAACCATTCTGTTCAGATTTCAAAATCTTTTCCCCATCAGACTTCTGCAGTATTAGGGAGTTTTTGTCCTCTTCCACAGGACGTCAGTCACCTGTCGTATCCCCTGAGATATCTCACTTCAGGCTCTCCTTTTGCTGCTTCTAACAGTTTGACATTTTAATGACAGAAATTCTCTCACTCACTACTTTTAACTCTTATTCTGTTTGTGCAGCTCCAAAACATCCACCAATAGAGGTACAAACTTGTGTGGCAATTAAAGATCTGCTTTTGCTAGATAGACTTATAGACGCTTTAGTGGAAATTCAATACTCCATGGCTTACTTTAACTGGCAATTTTAAAGTGGCTGTGACCATTCCCTGGCACTGGAACCAGAGACACAGGGACACGGGACCACCCTCATCCATCCTGCTAAACTCAACTCAACCCCCAGAGGACACAGGTCACATCTTAAGGGTCCATTTGGAATAGTTCCTGTTCCGCAATAGCCCCAGTTGTAACTAAAATTTCTTCAGGACTGTGCAAGTTGGCCAGGTCAGACCCATGCCAGTGTCTGTGCTTCACAGCTAAAAATATGGACAATAATTCTGAAGAAGATTCCCACACAGTGTTTAATGTAGTGAAACAGATTAAATCCATGTGTCTCCAAACGCTCATTAGAAAATCACTGCTTTCTTAAACCCAGGTGACTGCATTCAATAAAACATAGCTGGGTGCCGGGTAGGAGATATGCCAGCGCGGACTACACCCACTCTACCCTCTGGGATTTGAAATCCCACAGGAGGAACCAGCCATGTTTAACATCTATGATGGGTCACAGACAGATGGGAAAAACTGTTGTTTGGAGAAGCTTGGCCTCCTAGTCCTTGCAGCAGATGCAGGGACTGATGAGGAGACAAGGCACGGAGCAAAAAGCTGGAAGATGTCCTCTCTTGGATGCATGATGGCCGGGAAACCAATTACCATTTATGAGAGCAGCTCTGCACTAACTCAGTGTCCAAATGAACTAAAATCTGTAAGAACTGGGAATCAGGAAAGACAGAGGGATGAGGCAGGTGTATCCTAGTAATTAAATAACAGCAAGGAATGCATTTGTACCCAGAGCCTTAATGTCAGGAGAAGGTCTACAACTTTCAAAACCGTGAGGTGCTTTGGGCTGCCCGAGATAGGATCCTGGAGCTCTGGTTTAGCCATCACTGTACTAAACTGATTTATGGCCACTCCTGAAGCACCTCATCTCCAGGTGGTTACAAAGTGGGCAGCTCCACTGCAGGCAATAGAGCTGTGATTGGTGAGGATGCTTTAGAAGGAAAATCAACTTTTTTTTGACTTCTCCCATTTCTTTGTCCCATTGTGTTGCATCATCCCCTAGATCTGATACTCTGACACAATAGCTCCTGTAAAAACAGTGTCTCTATGCAATAACAAAGGTTTTCAAGAAAAACCTTTGTTAGGTCTATTTGCAACTTTACACAAGTGATAGTCCTTGTGATTTTAATTTTTTTTTATTATTGCATGTGTGGGTTTTTTTAATATTTTAATCTTTCTGCATCCAGAGATGCACTCCACTAGAAATTCATTAATGGGACATCTTCCCATCTGCCTGCTCCACTCTCACCATGACATGGCATTTTTTCTCAATAGAAAACCAGGCTGCCACTGCTTCTCCCCGCCATCCGTTCCACCCACACACTTTGAAAAACCTGGGCAGTGCAGATTTCATTTAAATTTTATAACCAGTTTTGCCCACATGGCTCACATCAACACTTTCAGAGGGTTATTCTGCCTCTTTGGTGCTCCCATGAGCTCTGCCTCCTGCAAGGGTTAATGTTCACCTCCCTCTCCATCTAAAGAATAAGTTGTCTATCTCACCCCCACCGTGAGATTAAGCGCAATCACAGTCACCCTTCACCCTTACCTTGCAAAGTCTTGGCATGCCAAGCCAGAAGCAGGGTCTGTGCATCCTGGGTTTCTAAGTGAAATTAAAACCAAAAAATTAAAAATTTAAAAAAAACTAAATAAAAACAAAACACCAAAAATCTCACTGCCCCAGTAAAGTCTCTTGCAAAGGTTTGTCTGTGGAAGTGAGGGCTAGGAACAAAGTTGTGGGGTGGAGGGGGAGGAGAGCATGATTGACAGCCCTGAGCTGAGACTCATCCCTTACCTTGGGCCATGCGGTCTGATTGGCTGCCTGCTGACATCCCCAAGCCCTGCACTTTTTAATAGACGCTTTTGGATGATCTACAGGGAAAAGGCTTGGAGAGGTGTGTTTCTGACAAGCCAGAAAGTCATCCGCACTACAAGGGACTTTGTTTAACTCTTTTTTTTTTTTTTTTTTTTTTTTTTTTTTTTTCCTGGAAAGAGGGGGATTCTTCATTTTCGCACTTAATGTTTTTCTGAAAACTTCGCTGAGATTTTCCCCTTGCACCAGCCTGGACTAATGGATTACCACCTGCTTGGACTAATTTTATCTTTTCTCTTCAATGGCACAAAGGTCTTAGCTGGTTACCCAATTTGGTGGTAAGATTTCTTCCCTCCCCCCCTTCCCTCTTTCTATGATTGATTAATGAATTAATTAATTATTAGCTATGGGATTTGTGTGTATGCATGTCCCTTCCTTTTCACCCTTCACCCTGCTGATTTGGCCACAACTGCATGTTTGATTCTAGGCATAATTTCTTCAGATTTGACCAGTAATTAATGAAAAGTTTGGGGGTTATTTTTAGGGGCAATGTCTAGGTTTCCCTTTACGCAAATGGAGTCTTCCCCACCACTCTTAATTTCTCCATTTTCGCCTCTGTAGCAATAGGCATTTGTTTTAGATGTAAAAGATTGCATTTTTATTTTCTTGTGCAATAGGAATTTTGTCTGTTGCATAACTGTGTAGCAGGTATTTTCTCCCTTTCCATTAAGCTGTGATCGTTCCTTTAAAAAAATTAATTCTATTTTCTTTTTGGCTGCTGCAGTTTTTGGACTTCTTTCTGTTCTTTTGTTGTATTCTGTCATGTGAATTTAGTCCGGCAAATAAGCTGAGAACGCAAATGGCACCTGAAAAATATTCATTAGCAAAATTCCTCAAAGATAGATTTTATTCTTTTTAATTATGGAAATGTCACTTATTTCCTTGTACCAACAATAAAAATAATTTTTAAAAGAATAGGTTATATCTTATAATGTGGCTGATAAGTAACCTGAGTTACTTATTTTAAAAATAAACAGTATATAAATAAATATGTTAATGGAAGCACTTTAGAACAAAAAATACAGAATAAAACATTTCTGGTCATTTAAACACAGCAGACAGTGAGTTGCATAACAGAATATTTCAGTTAATTTCTCTCTTTATCGTGTAGGATTTCTCATTGGAATATATCTCGTTAAGTTTCTGTATGTGCCAGGTAGGGGCTGTAAGCCTAATGATCTGTAGGGCAAAGAGGGAGATGTTGGAATTTGGTGCTACTGAGATTCTTGGGTTATTTTCGCCTTTCCAGAAAAGTCTTTTTTTTAATTACTGAATTAGATCCTTTCAGTGCCAACATGGAGATGGCAAGAAGTAGGTGGGAGTGAACTTGGAAATGGACTGCCATGTCTGAGAATATTTAGAAATCAGAAGGGAAGACAATTTTTTTTTTTTTTTTTTAAATAATCAGCTTATTACTGTGGACTTTGAGATTGAAAATGTGCAGTTCCAGTAGAGAAAGACTGAGAATACAATGAGAAGTCCACACTCAGGAAGCGTTTAAAAGCTACGCAGGTTCATGAAATGGCTAAATCACAGCATGTTTTCCTGAAGAATTAAATTATTTCCTCACCCTGAGCGTGGCTGCCCAACTTCAGGTCCTAAGCCTGGGGCAGGGGAGCCTACTGAAATATAGACAGCATCACTTTGATTCCTTACATCCCTTTTCTCCTTCATCTGGGGACCGGCATGTCTGAATGGGTGTGCATGGTGGGTTGTAGAACAGGTCAAAATTACATGGCTGGATCTAAAGACAAGAATCTGCATGGGGCAATGATACCTTGCCGTGACATCAGCTCTCCCAGGGTCTCACCAGCTCCTGACCTGCTTCAGGCTTTGATATAAACCAGGATTTAATACCCAAATCAAGGAGGGTTTCCACTCTCAGAGCAAGGAACTGAAATCTTCTTGACGAAAAGGTCTGTTTTTTCCCCATGATGCAAAAACGTCTCAGTGAGCAAAATGTCCCTCCCTGTTTTCAGGAGAAGATGCTGCAGACAGGTGTCTGCCCCATGTCCCTGCCCTCTCCAAAATCTTTACAAGTTCACCCAAAATGAACAATACAGAGGACATGTAATACCGAAACACCAGGGGCATGGCAAGCAGCATCCATGGGAAAGGAGGGAGTCAAACAAGCTATCTGCAGAATTTTATTCAATAGATCTGCACCTTACATATTTTTTGGAGATTCTAGTAATACTGAAGTGCCAGAGACTCTCTGCTGCACTGGGGGGATATGATGAGTTGCCCCATGAAGGACTGGGAGACTATCCAAAATAGCATAGGATTTTAGAGTTTTCTTGAAGGCTGAGGGAGCGGAAATGCAGAAATATCTGGGCCAGGGCTCCCCGACTGCTCAGGCAGATACAATGCTTCCCACAGCACACAAAATTAAATATATCCTTCAGTCCCACTGAGGGCTTTGAATATCTGCTCTGCGGAGCTGAGATCTTATGCACAGTGTGCTCTAGCATGGTGTGATATCTACTCTTAAAAAAAAAAAAAAAATCATCCTTTTCCAGTTGTCTTCCTGATCCTCTGATCTTTAGGCAGGCACAGAGCAGACCTTGGGGAATGTCCCACTTGCAGGGTTCTACACACCCCAAAACAAGGCGAGGGAAGCAAAGATGTGACACAGCATCAGCCCAGTCCCCTGCACTGGCTCCTGCACCCCTCCAGACCAGGTTGGACCAGAGATCATCAGTGCTTCCTTATCCTCAGCTAAACCCATCTCTGCTAAATACAAGACATTCAGGAAGACTGTTCAGAACCCACAGACTGCTGACAGATAGTGTCCAGTCCTGATGGTGCAACCTTTCTGGATATTTTTCTACTGTCTAGGGAATATTTTGACAGCAAAATCAAAACAGATCATTTCTGCTTTGGGGCACAAATGGGAAAAACGTTTATTCCTGTAGTGGGGAAAAAGTGTCTAATGTGCACAAGGGAAAAAGTGCAATGAGAACAGGGTCTTGGCACCTTGTAAATGGGTTTAGGGGTGGCTGGAATAATCTGGCTCCTGCATAGTGCAGCCAGACAATGCCGGCAAGCACAACGTTGATGGCAGTGCAGGGGAAGGGATAAAAGCAAAAAGATGAAGTTACTGAGGGTTTGCACTGAGTTGTATTTTCAGAGGGGCCAGGAAGGCTGCTGACCATCTGGTTATATTATCTAGAGAGAGCATAACTCCACAACAGCCCTCCAGCTTGCACGCCGTCCTGCTGAAGGGAGGATCCTGCCCTTGGCCTCAGGGGTGAAGCGTTACTTGCAAGGCAGTGAGGCTCAAGGCATCAGCTCTTGGCTCGGGAGCAGCCTGGACAGGCAGCAACGCAAAGGGAGGACTCTGCAGTGCAAATCCAGATCTGCAGTGTCCCGGCTCACTGGTGGCAGCGGGAATGTGGAGCCACCGGGCTGCAAAGCCAAGGCGGGGGTTGGGGTGGGGGGGGTGTTGCAGTCCAGCCTGTTTGATTGCTAACAACTCCCTGACATCACCTTGTCCCTGACCAAGTAGCATTTTCCCGGGCAATGCCTGAGTAATGTCCAGGGGTAGCACAGGCTGTAGATGTAATCTTCAGTGAGCAGGGGTGGCATTTTGCCATAAGCCCAACCCTTCTTCACATGGTTCCATCTTATTACAGCAGTGAAAAGGAACAAATGGGGCACAGACGGGAAAAGGTCATCTAAATGCTGCCTGCTAGAGTGCTGACAAGAGGAGCTGAAGCCAACAAAAGCTTCCTCAGATACGTGTCCAACACTTCTGCTGTCTGGGTTATTGCTGCTAAAAGAGAGGCAAAGAAGGAAGAAATAGGCAGATGTCGTGAGTCCATGGAGACCAGGACTGCTGCTTTTCCAGACTCCGCCATACAGGGATGGTATGGATGGAAGCAAAGTGGGCAACGGGGCCGTGGCTGGCACCCCAGCAGTCATGGGTCATGCCAACAGCCTTTCTAGGTGCCAGCAGAATGGGTGGTGGTGACACTAATCACACCTGCAGCCATTTTTTTAATCCCAAATGCCCCAATGACAGTACAGATAACAGAGTCTGAGTCACTGGGGTTGGGAGGGATCAAGGTATGAAAGACTGGTCAATGCAGCCTATAGACAGACTGGTGGATGGGCCCAGAGATTTCTAGTAATGTCCTGAGAGAATTTAGATGAAAATCTAGTCCATACTCAGAGATGTGTCAGTGCAGGCCAACAGAGATATTGTGGCCCAGAAAAAAAAACAGGAACTGCTCCCAGGATGGTAATACACGTGCAGGGGCTGAAAAAGACAATCAGGGAGACAACTCCACCCATGAACTGAACAGAAACAGCAAATGCTCTCCTGTTCCATGAGCATCATTCACCAAAAAATCTTGAAAACCTCTGGTGTGTCACTAGCCTGGGGAAATAAGCCAGATTTGGAGTCATTGGTGTAAACAGGGAGTAAAAATATTCAGCCCCACTCCCCTCATCATTCCTCAAGACATAATATAAATAGGTCACTGCCCATAACTCTGACTCTCACCAAGTGCATTTTCCCATCCAGCACTTGCTGGCCTCTAAGCAAATGACTTGGCAACTGGAAGAATGGCTTTGTCCATCATATGTTATTAAATTTTATTTCTATCCCTCAGAAATGTTTTCAGGGGAAGCTGGAGGCTTTGGCACCTGGCTGAGGATCTCAGTGGCCTTGGGCCCCTAGGAAGCGGCAGATAGAAACTTAAAAACATGTTTTCACTGGTCCCACAGTAGCTTCCTCATTAGGAAAAACCTGTGTGTGAAAACCATTTGCATGTAGATGTAGTCTGAGATGACATGTAACTTGTCTTCTTCAGCTTTCACTGTTTCACCTCGCTGTAATGAATGGGAGACCTCATTCTCTTTGCAGCCTTTTTTTTTTTTCGTTTTCTAGAGGTTCAAAACATTTATAACCTGTAGCCTGTATTTTGTTACAGGCATGTGGCCCTTAAAGCTTTATTCAAAACAAATAAAATTGCAGTGCAGCATCAGACTATGAGAGTGGATTTCCTGATGCAAATCCAGCTGCTGTAGCCCTACAAAGGAAGAAAAAGACCCCACATATAATTTTCCTACAGCCTAAAATGCAGGCAAGTTATGGGGGAAAGTGACTAAGATAATGATGGAGTTTGTCAGTGACAGAGCTGACGGCACTCGCTGTGCAAGCCCAGAGGTGCTGCTCTGGCTCCCGGTCTGGTACACGAAGCCAAAGCACCTCTACCAGTGGCCTGCGCTGGCACGTGAAGCTCTGAACTGGAAGAGCTGACACATAAACCAC